CACTACAAGAATTAAGACTTTTTCCGACGTTACATAATTAAAAACGTTTGAAAGGTAATAGTCCCGATAAAAAATTTTTGTTGGAAAAACATCGGAAGAAGTTGTAAGGTAGTTATAGAAAACTACCGACATTTTTCCAAAAATGTAGGAGAACTATTAGAGGGTATTAACTTTAGTTCAATGAAATTAAAAGTTTTTAGGTTAAAATTGTCGAACTGAGTACGAGGGAATGAAAAATAAAAGAAAGCTATATAGACCAAAGCTAAAATTTTATCCAAAAAAAAAAAAAGAGAGAGAGAGAGACCAAAGCTAAAATTATATTAGATATTGATAAATTTCTGATATATATTTTGTATCTTTATTTTATGATAGTGAAGAACAATTTTTAGAACTATTTATCCTTTATATAGTTTTGAAATCCTAACCAAAATCTTGTTTCTCAAATTGACTAAAATTTCAAAAACATAAAATCCTTAGTTTTGAAATTTAAAAACATAGGTTAAAAAAAACGTTTGTCACTTCTATAAAGTGGTTCGAGATTCAATCTCCTATCTCTATATTTATCAGACTGAAAAAAAAGGTTAAAAAAAATTTTTGGCCATGCACTTTCATTGAAGGAACAATTTACTCTATGTAGTCTTTCGAAAAAAAAAATTAGTCCATGTAATTTAAAGTTTGTAATGATTTAGTCTATATCATGAACATTTTTTAATTTTTTTTATATATATTGATCAATAAACCGATGTAAGATTAAATATGTTTATAAATTACAAAGACTGAATTATTATAGGATAAAAATTGATATTTAATTTTGATGAGATTTTTGAAGGTTAAATTGTTACAAATTTTGGAGTATAATGACTAAATTGTTACCGATAATGTTTAGAAATTAAATTGTGACTTTAGAAAAAATACGAGACGAAATGAATTTATTAAAAAGAAAAAGGAAAAAAACACAGAAAGTGGTTGACTTTGGTACCACATTAATTACGTGCTGTCATGGATTAGGAGTGCAACCACCACTAAATCCACTAATATTAAATGCACTTTCCACTACACTCTCGCCAAAAACCAATTCTCCTTCCTTTATTTACCTTTAAATTATTGGTTGGATATGTGAATTTTTAGGGTTGTATCTATTCAATCAATCCGTACATAATTTAGTGGATAAATTTATCCATCTTATATATCGATGAAGGTAAAATTTTTGTCAAGAGACATATTATTATAGGGGCGAGTTCGAATGAATCGAGTTACCGAACCAAGCCGGTTATGTAATGGAAGCCTCCGAATTTGACTCTAACGGTTAAATACATAATCGTACAACAGTATTTCAACCTCAACACATATTTCACGTCGTCTAGAATTGCGGAATTAACTGTGGATTTGAATCCATGGTATCAATGGTATCTACTCTTCGTATCAATACCTTAAAATTGAATAAGGGAGGTATGCAAACTTTGATACTTGAGATTTTTGCATATTCGAAGACAAATCTTACAGAGTGCTAACTCATCTTTTGTAGGATCTAGTACCGATCTACGAGTATTCTTGGAGATCATATTGCTTTAGTCGAATTTTTCAGTTAAAATATATATGTTAAACTAAAAAAAAGAAAAGAACTTTGTATTTTAGAGAAAGTTATAACATGTCACTATTAGTTCTTATATTTAGAATTCAGTAAGTTATAAACTTTAAATTTTGCATTTAATATGTCTTTATAGGGATCGAAGTAGTTCAACATATAATAGCTCAAGAATCTATTAAAAATATTATGGACGATCTAGATAAACACAATCTTAAAAGTTCAGGGAATCTTATTAGAAAACATTTTAAATTATAGCTACTAATTTAACGTAGAAATATTATTTTTCTTCCATCACCAATGTCTCAGGGGAGTTTGGTTTTGGTTCGATATTTGTGTAGACTTGAAAAAACATAAATGTCTGAAACAAAAACAAGATTTTCTTATACGAAGTTTAAGAACTAAAATTGAAGATCTAAATATAAAATTGAGAAAAGAGAAGAGAGAAAAAAAAAAAAGAGAGTTAAAAAGGTTTTTATTAAAACCCACTTGATCTCATTTTTTTCTTTTATGTTCATATCTAATCTTAATTTTATACTAAAACCATTGACAACTACAACTTCATTATGCAAAAAGAGTGGTTGTCACTTTTTCTTAATCATTAGGGTTTAGATTTTTATTAATTTGACTTTAGGTTCAAAATCCTAGATTTGTGATGCTATCTAAATTTGATAATTTTGTGTTTGTGTGGGTATCAATTTGGAGATTTTTTTTTCTTATGCCATTATGGTTAGAAAATTGAATTTTTAGGTTCGTTTAATAACATTCGCTTATTTTATTTATTGTTTCTCATTTCCAGTACTTAGAAACATAGTTTGATATTAGTTCCTATTTCTCGTTTCTCATTTTTAACAAACGTTTTTAGAAATTTTGGAAACAACAAAATCAAATTTCTCATTTCTTGTTGTCTAATGTTTTTCAAAACATAAATAAAAATATTATTTTATTATTATTGACATATAAAAGGTATAATAAATATTTAAAAATAAATAAAAAGTAAAAACTTTAAAGGTTTAGTTTAAAAAATATACTTTTTTTTTTAATTTAAACTTTTGGAGAATAAAAAATAGGGTTGCCAAACATTAAAAAAAAAACAACAGTTATCAAATGTAGTTTTATTTTTCTTTATTAAAAAAGAAGAGACAAGAAATAATAAATAAGAACGTTAAGAAGCGAACACTTAGTTTACACACAAAAATCATTTATTAATTCACATAAATAGTTAAAATTAAGGGTTCCTATTTATTAGGAATTTATAAGCGAATTAAGATAAAAACATGAATATGAATATGGAGGTACTTAGGAAGAAACAGACTAATTTAATCTTTTTCGTATTAAAGTGATGAGTGGAACTGCCAATTAAATGACTTATTATCAAAATTTTGGAATGGCATATGCATCACACGAGACCTTTTTCAATCATTAATTTTTTGAAAAAGTGGAGTTGAAATACTCTTTTTAGATTAAATAACAAAATTATGATTAACAGCAAGAATTTTGGAACGAATCAAAAAGTTCACCATATCTTAAAGGAATTAAAAAAAAAAAAAATGAAAACTCAATTTGATAATGATTTTACTTTTATTTTCCGTTTCTCAGAGTTGAATGGACGATTAACTAATTATTCTCTCATAATCCACTTTTAAAAACTAAAAGATAGTTAAAAAAAATTCCTCTCTAAAGTTTTGAAAGTGTTTTTTATTTGTTTCATGTTTCTCTTGAAAATGTATACCAATTTTTAAAACTGAGCTATCAAAATTATTTTTGTTTACATTTTTCAAAAACATTATTAAAAGTAATATTTTAAACTTTTTTTTTTTTATAAACTTTCAAAAACTAAAAAAATTATGTTAAATTATTAGTTTCGTCTTCTAAAGATTGTCTAATAGGTTCATAAACTTTCAATTTTGTATCTAATGAGTCTTTAAACTTTCAATTTTGTGTCCATTAAATTTCTAACTTATAAGACTTTCTAAAGTTTAGGAACGTATATTATATACAAACTAAAAAATTTAATGACCTATTAGACACTTAGAACATGTTACACACAATTTGGAATTTATTAGACATTTTAAAAGTTTTTGAACTTGTTCCTTTCAAAGTTCAAAGACCCAACCTGTTAAAAAGAATTTAAATGACAAAAAAAATCTTGAATATTTTATTTAACAATTTTTAATATCCATTTTATTTTTTCCCTTGAAAATTTAAAGAAAAAAAAAACAAGGCATCAATGTTCTTTTGTTAAATTTTAGATTAGTGAATAAACCAAAACGAAAGAGACATTTCTTGTTCGGTGCCTAAAGCACACTACGCTCTCCTTCAACAAACATAAGTTTTCGAGGGAACCAATGAACCACGCAAGCAAATTAGATGTGTGGGCAGAGGACGTGTAGCATGTGCTAGCATAGCCATGCAATGGAAGGGGTAGGAGCCTAAATCAACCCCCTTCTATCTTTCTTTTTTTCTTTGAAAAAAAAACAATAGAAAGAGATTAGACTCTCGAATTAGACTATGCAGCCATTGACCATTCCGGCGCCCCTGACCTAAAGTTGTGTTTATCATGTTATTCGAGGCTATAGAAGTCCTTTATGTTCGAATAAGGGTGTGTTTGAGAGTGATGGTAAAATGAGTGATTTTGAAAAAATAAATTTAAGTAATAATTGATTTTCCAAAATCACCAACCAAGTGATACCTTGAAAAGCAATTTAAAGTGATTTTAAGCTTTTATGATCAATGGGAAGGAAAGTAATTTTGACAATGACAAAATTTGCCAAAATCACTTCCAAGGTACGTTTGGGAATGATGGTAGAATTAGTAATTTTAAAAAAGAAATTTAAGAATAATTGATTTTCCAAAATCACCATTCAAGTCAATTTAAAGTGATGTTAAACTTTTCAAAAATCAATTTTTAATTTACCAAACATGATTAATGGAAAGAAAATTAACTTTGACAATGACAAAAGCCAAAATCACTCCCAAACAAATCTAAGTAAGTAATTTTGAAAGTTGTAAATACTCAAAAAGTACTTTGGAGAGTGACACTTGATTTGCCATCCAAAAGTACTTCTTATTTCCACTCAAAGCCCAAGGCCCAAGGCCCAAGTTCCTATTGCCCAGAAACTAGACCGACCCAATCTCCAGCCACTTTAATGTTGCCAGCCTGCACTACTCAACTGAGTTCAAAAGTGCTTACATTAAAAGCACTTTTTTCAAAAACATAAAACATGAAAACGGGTTACCCTGTTGCCAAAAAAGGCCCTACTCTGCTCCTCTGCCAATATTCTGTAGCAGAGCTTTGTCATGAATCATCATCATTAGATATGAAATGAATATCCACATTCTGTTGGGATATTTCAAAAGCAAAAGAAAAGAAAAGAAAAGAAAAGAAAACCAAACCCATCATTAGATTTTCCAGTTCTAAACCTCTCTTTTCTCTTTGCTTCACAAACAACAGATGTAACTGAAAACGACAGCCAGAAGAAGAAACCAAAAAAAACTTGCTCTTTCAAGAAACCCAACACAACACTACAAAATGCAACTTGCCTTCCACCATGATTTCTTGATAACTCAAACTCCCATCTCTCTCAACACTACGTCCAGTCAATCATGTTAGAGAGAGAAACAAAAAGAGACAGAGAGAGAGTCATCTCATTAGTCATTATTTTAGTACTATTGATTACTGAAGATGAAAGTTTTACACACAGGAAGGAAACAGAAGTAGCTTTCTTTAGAAACCTTTTGTCTAGTTCAAGGACCATATTGAGTAAGAAAATAGTATGGCGATCAGAACTGACCCAACCGAACATCTCTGTCTAGGCGATCGGCATTCAGGGTCCCCGGGAGCTCTCTGAAACCTTCATTGAAGATGGAATATGCACTGCAAAAAATTGGAGATTCAGTGGTTGGAATGATCTTTAAAATATGGCATGAACTTCAGACTTCAGTTGTAACTCGATATGACACTAGTGATGCTGGACAATTTCAAGATGGAATACGTGATTCGTGCTACCAAATACATGAAAGCCATGATTAATGAGTTCATATACATGTTAAGAGAAATACATCCAGACAACATTTTTAATAGACCCAAGGAGAAATGTCAATGAAAAAACTTGTTGAAAGTTACCCCAACAATAAGGAGAATTCGAGAGATCTCAATCACTCTAGAATCCAGTACATAAGTAATTGCTCATGTTGATTATTCTAACCAACTCCCTAGATTCCCGCCACCAGCTTCCAATCCTTTTCCATTTCCATGCGTTGTTATGGATTGAATCGGGGGCCTACCAATACCCCACGCCTCAACAAAGCAACCTTGCCCTCAAGGTAAGGGAGCGGTCATAGCTGGATAGTTATGTGATAGATGGATCCCATGTGGCATCACTAGCACACATCCCTTTCCATTGAATCGGTCCTTTTTGGATTGCCAACCATCACAATGGGTAGAACTAGGCGACTGTGGTCAATAGTAAGTTTATAAGCCACTTCCCCCAATCCTTTCTGTAACACGAAAAACTTGAGGCCTAAAAAGTTGTTGAGCCAACTTCTGGAACTCACAAGCTGCTTGAAATTTGCTTATGCTCTGCAACTTGAGGTAGACATACATAGTCATCAACAAAAAAAAATGATGGTAAATATGGCAACATATTGATCAATAGCTTCTAATTCCCTCGCTTATTGTCAAAGACCCTACAAAAAATCCTCAATCCTTACAAGACATCGACAGTCTCATATGTCAAACCTGGTTTATGATGGATATCCAAACCATACCCCATTCAGATAAAATTTGAGATGACTTTTGTAAGGGTTAAAAGCATAAAAAATGCTTTTAGTCCATTAAAATTAATTTTCAAAATTTCTATTGATATCATTTTGAAAATTCTAAAAATACTAAAAAAACACTTCTTATGCTACGAGGAAAAACAATTAACCAGGCCTCTTCAATTTGCACAAGAAGAGGAGCTTTCACCCAATTTCAAAAGTCATATCAAACTCATGCTAATTATAATGTCAGATGCTGGTACTCTACTCCAAATACCCCCGGATCCATCAAGAATGGAAAGCTCTTCTAATCAATTCATACTGCAAACTTTCATCCCAACAATTAGTAGCTCTTAACAGCCAACACAATTGCAGCACTATTTCTTAACGTCCAACACAATTGTGAGGAGTTCCTCATAAGAAGCGATCACATAGTACTCCTCAGTTCCTCATGAGAAATTCAACACAATAGCCCTGAATCATTGTCATTGAGGGAGCAGTTGGTTATAAATAAAAAAGTAATTAGACACTGCTCCTGCACAAGAATTGGAATAGAAAATTTATCTAAAACAATGATCAGATTTAAAGCCTAAGAGTCTAAACAAAAGTGCCAACTACCATTCTTTTTCTTGAATCTTTATCAACAACAATGGAGCTAGAAACCAAAAACACTTGACTGAATCATCATAGCCATCAACATCTCTCTAATTGGCTTTTCTATCTTGTCCTTCTGAAAGAGGGGTATCTATAAGGACGAACATCGATAGGGATATCTGTACCACCATATCCTCTACTAGATATTCTTCCTCCAAGTTCCATCACTTATATTATTCCTCCTCCACATCGGGTTCCAATCATGGACAAGCATCAGTTGCAGATAATGCTTCTTCCACTGATGCCCTGCTGTGAAATACTTCATGCGAACAACCACCTTGAGGCCATAGAGAAAAATGCCCTCCAATCCAACACCCATTATTATGGAATGCCTATCAACAATGCTGACCATTGACTTGAATTGCCGTTGAAACTCCCTGATGATAGTCTCTATTACAGTTTATAAAGCTTGAAATCTCTTGAGTGGTCCGTATTGCATTAGCCAAAATAGCCCTAACAACCATCCTCACTCCTCAATCCAACTTTTGAAAGTCTCGCATCCTTCCTCCCACTAAAACCATGTTAATGCTTCTCCCTCCATATAGAGCATTGCTGCTCAAGCTTCTCCTCGATCAATTTACTAATGTTCAAATATAGCTCAGCTAAGGGTAGCTAGCTCCAGGGTATTGGTCACCAAAATTTGCCATTTTCAACCTCCACTTTGGATCCCTGTAAGTTCTCAACGACACCCTTCCCCCTCAATCGCCATTGCCACCAGTCCGGATGACAATCCTATTGATGCCTTCCCCTCATCTCATCTTCCTTAATCTGGCACTAATTAATGCCATACTCAGCTTGTATGATCGGCACCATCCCCTTATCTTCCTTATCTGGCATGAGATTAGCCCCATACTCAGCATTCACTATATTTTCCATATTGATTTCCATCGAATGTCTCATCTCCTTGTACATTTGCCACAACCCCCACCCCAATGCACTCTAAATGCGATTGGAACATTATAGATTTTCTTCTCAATAGCTTTCAAGTGATTCTCTACTTTCCTATTGCTACCACCAACCCCTAGAACCGACTGTTCTAGTACCACTTTGGTAGAGTCAAAGTGAAAGTGTAATTGAAAACTAGTTGAAAGTTGCAATTGCCAAGAGGGAGAAAGTGAAAGTTCCCAGCCCCTCCTAAGTATACGCTACCCCATTAGATACCATCTTCTCTTTCCACCCTAGCTATAAGTACTTCATCATGCTGATAGTTCTCACCAACTTCCTAGATTCTTTCTAACTCCCACCTCTAATCAATTTATATCGTCAGCCATTCTTAACTTTACCCTTTAACCCCCATCATTTTCCTTCCCTTCTCCTCACATACGTGTACTGGATCAGGACCTATCACATTGAAGAAACAATAACTGGACAAACCATGAAATTGGAAAATATATAAACACGCAATCATGCCTTGCCTTAATTTATCTAAAACATAGAAAAGTCCTGCTACGAATATGTTGAACATGAATTGGACGAGTTTCTCTCAAATATTACAAGAAGTTCGAGTACCTCATTTCTCCTGATTTTCGATGTCCAAGATTTAGTAGAATGATGCAAAAACCAGTACCAAGTATCTGCAAAAACAATTCAAACATAGAAAATATTCTAAAATAGGTAATCCAAAATTTCTACTCATGTAAATAAATACATATTTTGACCTTGTGGCATGAGAATTCAGAAAGGAAAATGGACTTGTTTTCCATTATATGCTTATAATTTTCACAATATACTAGACCAAGGTACTTCAACTTAAAAAAGTAAATGGAGAACAGAGATTTTGCCACTTGCTGAAAGAAGACCCTACTAAAAGTTGCAGGAGTATCAATAATTACCAAAAAAAAAAAAAGAGCGGCTTTTTAAGAATTGAGTTTAAGAATATTTTCATTTTTTACAACAAAACCTTAATGAAAATATTTTCAAGTAATTGTTTTCTAAAAGTTGTGTTCCTTTCTCTGGCTTTATTCTTGCAAATGTGTTGTTTTATTTATAAAAACAGTTGAAACTGTTTCTTCCAACAGCACAACTGGTAAACGATGATTAAATACACAGTAAAGCATATTCTAGAAGGCACTTGCCAATTCTTTTATTAAAACACAAATTAAACATTTTTGAAAAACTGATTTGCAAAACAGTTTATGAAGCAGCTCCTAAGGTTGCCATCAAAATATCAACTACCAAAAATAATGGCACCAACATTCAAAATCTAGTAACCAACAGAACAATATTACTCTTACATATAAAGGTCCAAGATCCCAGCTATGGGCAACAGGTGCCATGATAAACCAGATAAGTATGGCAGCCCAAGCTTTCAGGCTGAGAGAGAAAATCACCATCAAAAGGATATCTATCCACAGACAAAGAACCAAAATGCAATTAGCCGATTCATATATTGAACTCATTGGAATAATTTAGTATGACCATTACCGGGAAACTTCAACTTCTCACGCAGGAAATTGTAAATTTTCTTCTTCAACCGACTTGAAGACTCTGGAAGCCGAAACTTCTGAAAAATGCCCATGTAAAACAAACAATTGAGAAAATCTTCAAGCTAAGCTGGTTGTCCAAGATCTACGATTGGAATACTTAATGGGCATACCAGATCATCCTCATCATCATCAAATCCATCCCGAAGATGCTCTGCTGGGGGCTTAGGTTTCACAGCAACAGTCAATGATTCTACAGAATAAAAGGTGGTGTCCAATTACTGAATTTAAAATGAGTTGTGAAATGAGAAGCTCATTGAAACTCAAAACATTTAGAAAACCATAGAAAAACATGTATGAAATAACAAAGAAACAGATATTGTGCAACAAGCTCCAAAAGTTACCACCAAAAACACAAGACAGATTGACAAGAGAACAAACATGGCCAATAAGCTGGAATTATGATTTTGGCACTAATACTGAATACCAGAACCAAAGTTTCATTCGGTAACATATCTAAAGCATCTTTTAGCAGTGGAGACATTTGCTTGCATTTTACTTATACCAACGAGCCTAAGCTGATACCGGACAGTTCAAAAGTAAATATTATAGAGATTGAATCTTACAATCAGAATTATTATACAGAAAATAAAGTGCTTCAACTATGATTTTAAAGTCAAGGACTAACCAACAATACTCAAGAATAGCAACATAGATGAATAACAAAAATACAATTGCACGCATTTGAAAAATGGAAGTCCAAAAGCCTGGACGATTCAGAGCAAAGAATAGGTAATATGGAGAAACTTGATTCACAATGACATTTTCAAACCTCAAGCCTGTATAATCATCAAAAGAACCCACCATCACCATAAAAAGTGCCCTTTTCAAGGAAACATAGATTAGCAGGAACATTTAAATAGGTTTGTTTCTTTATCAGATCATACCAAAAATCGTAAAACTAAGTGAACTAGCCAAGGGCCTTGCTTTTAGACATCCCCAAAGGAGTTTCTTTCTCTTTGAATCTTTAAGTAATGATTGAATTAACCAGAACATTTGATACAATTGTAACCAATATTGCAATTTAAAGCAATCAAGACGGAATTTTTTTGTTACCAAAACCAACACAATAGAGAGAACAAAAACTCAGACAACATATAGTATTTCATATGACAATGATACAACAATCAGCAGAATACCGCAATTATACCGCCATCATTGAGCCGCACATATACATCATCGTCATTTTTATAGTCATCCAAAATTTTTCCTCGCAAAATAAGCTTCAAATTCCCGATGGGTAATTGATTACTCTCGGCGACCAACTTCCGCAAGTCACGCACCTGATGAAACAAAACCAACAGATAGCAGCAGGCTGATTCAAATTCACAACGGCCGAAGAAAAGGAAAATTGAAGAAAGGGTTTCGTACTTTGACAGGCGAAGGGACGAAGAGGCGAGAGGGACGTGCAGGGCCGATGGTTCGAACAATGATCTGGACTGTGTTCTCGGGAGGGTTGGCATTGCTGGAGCTCGAATTGCCTCCTCCGATAATGTTCCGATTGAAATTGTGCTCCTCGACAATCTCCGCCATGGCAGAGACAAAGATTCCGTCGTTCCGAGATCGAAGCGCTCTCGAATCGAATCGTCCTCTACGTCTTCTTCCAGTGATTTGCGTGCAGTGACAGGGAGCTCCCGTCTTCTCTCATCAGAATCTGCAATTCCTTGGAAATGGAAGCTGATGGACAAAAGTGTTCATCTTTGTATTTTATTTTTGGGGCAAACCCATAAGTTTTATACGTCTACGATATATATTTTTTAAAATAAAAAACATTTAAATTAACGAGTAAACCTTTCACATTTTCTAAATAAGTTATTAACGTTAATATTATGTTTATATTAATAACATTTTTTTGATATTTTTTATTTTATCAAAAATTTTTATAATATTACAAAAATGTGGATTTACATCTCTTAATGTCAAATTCGTAGACACATTGTAGATTGAAATGTCTATGAGACAAACTCCACTCTCCCTAATATATAATATTTGTATTTTCAAGATGAAACATTTGATTTTTACTTTTTTTGCCCAAATATATACTTCATCCTGTGGGATTTTGTGGTTAAGACATTTTGCTCTTTTTAGAGATCAAGTTCAATCCCACCGTTGAAGAAGAAATTTTGGTTAATTATTAAATGTCACGTGACAAATTTAAAATTATATTTAGAATCAATCACAAATTTACACGTGTTCTAAATTAATTTTAAAATCGACAAATTAAATTATGTCACATGTCTCCAGCCGTCCGATGATCGAATAATTGGATCAATCCATAAGAAGATTGGGTCCAAGCCCATGCTCATTTAAGCTCATGGTCATAGTCCATATAAGATCCACCAAAACTCTATAAATAGAGTAGGTCACATGTCATTTTTCAAATAATGAAGGATGGAGAATAATTAGAGATTCAGAGCCCTCAAAGCGTTCAAGTCGTCTACAATCATAAGCAATAAGTAGAAGGCACCAAAATTAAGGATCAATACAAATACAAGTTTATAAATTTGAGATTTCTCTTCTTTGAATTTCTAGTCGAACACCCGCATCTCCAAAGTTTCAATTTAGTACCTTATGTTTTAACATTTTCTAATTAGTTCCTCATTGTTTTATGTATATTAAAATTATCCAACGACAAACTTGTATGAAACAATATTAAGTGAATTGGTGAAGGAGAAAAAGAAATCATCAAAGAAAAGAAAACTCGAAATTTATACTAACGTCTTTAAAATTTGGAGGAATTGGAAAATTTCCTCTTTTTTATCTCTAAATTTTCACAAAAGCACTAAATATTATGTCATAGAAGTCTATCATCCACAAATTTTAATATTTACCAACCGTCAGGGAATAAATTGAAAAATGTTAAAAAGACCACATTAGAACTTTTAAAATAATAAAGACTAAATTTAAAAAGATACCAAAACATTAGAGATTAAAATATATATTTAGATTTTTCTTTCGAAAAAAGTGGGATGGGATATCCTAATTTATGGATAGTTCAGGCCATTTGACCATTTGATAATCATTTGAGTTATATTTCATAAATATTTCGTTGTTGGTTTTATGTTTTTAAAAATTAGGGTTACACACATTACTTTCAATTTTTTTTTTTTTTTGCTTTGTAATGTAGTTTTTATAAAATTTTCAAATTCTAGGCTATATATTGATTTTTTTTTAAACTACAAATTTATCAATAATGTCATTTAAAAAAATTATAAAAATAGGGTAGCTTTCAAACTAATTATAAAAAATATATAAAATAAATAAATGTTTTTTTTTAAACTAAGATATATATCCAACCTAATCACAAAAATAGATTATTGGCCTGTGAAATTAAGGGGGAGTTTGGAAGTGATTTTGGCTTCCATTTCTATTGATCATGTTTGACAAATTAATTGTTCTTAATTTTTTTTTTCAAAATCACTTATTCCACCGTTGCTCCCAAACACACCCTAAAATTTCATAGCGTACGCATTGAGACATGAATTCGTTAGAAATCTCATAAGCACGCGTTTTCCTTTTCAACGCTTTCCCCCCTTCAATTTGTTTCCCCACTCTTCCTCTGTTTTTCTCATATGGGTATTGATTTTCTCATATGAAAATTTAGAGTAAAAAAGCACAAGAAATATAATTGACAAAACACCAAAATCTAAATTGCAAAATATTCAAATCAAATCATGAAAATAGTTACATCTAATTACAAAATCAAGCTGAAATAAAAGAAGGGTTGATTACATATGTAATTTCCCGTTCTAATACTCATTTGGAGAGTTATCAAGATTGATATAATCTGTTCCGAGATAAGAAAACGCTATTAGATCAAATGAAAAAGCCCTATCAAAAGAGGAGGAAAAATTGAGTAATAGATGACTTTTCCTGGATGAAATGCAAAAAGATTTCATTACTCACTACATCAACCAATTTCCATTAAKGAAAGATGTAAATACATTGGAAAATAGAAAATACACATGTCACACGAAATGGTTGTTTTTTTTTTCCCACTGAGCGAAGATGAAATGGTTGTTGCTATCTGTTACAATAACAAATAATTGGTTTAACCAAATAACTAAAAAAATATCTCGACCCTTCTCTTCGTCTCAGGTCGACGGATATTCTTCATTAAAAGATCCCTTATATGAATAATATACATTCCAATTGACCGAGCATAATTCTAATTATTGTTTTGTTCCCAAGCAAACCACACGACGACTCGTTCTATTTAGATATTCACGACCAAGAAATATTGGATTCTCTTTCGGGTAGGCCAATTCCAAAAGAAGAAGGAAGACTGGAATAGCAACAAACACCTATTATTGATTCCACCCGACCCTATCTATTGTCATGCAACTTCGAGCACTCTTGCCAATCATTTATCTTTGGGGTGAGGAAATGGCAACCAAGTCAACTGAGATTTTGGATTAAGTTGTTCTACCCTGCATTGCAAAATACAAATATTGATTATTGTGTGTTGTGAAAAAAGTTTGATTGGATTTAATAATAAATTTGATGGAAGGAAAGTTAAAAGGCAAACTCACTTGTAATTGAGGAGAAAATAGTGAAGGAAAATTGAGATTTCGAGCCTGGCAAGATCCATTCCAGGGCATAATCTGCTTCCTAATCCAAAGGGAATGAAAGCTCCTGGTGTGGCTACAAAATTCTTTTCAAGAAAATCAAACTAAATGTCATTAATACCATTACATATACAAAGTATGGAGGTATAACAAAAAGTACGCAGATGGATTAGTGAAGAAGATTATAGATTTATAAATTAAAGACAACATCTATATTGATATGTGACGATCATTGTAGAGATAAAACAAAAAAAAGATCAGGTTCAAAGTAGACAATATTATATCAATAATTATGCAGATGGATCGGTGAAGAAGATTATAGATTTATAAATTAAAGACAACATCTATATTGATATGCGACGATCATTGTAGAGATAAAACAAAAAAAAAGATCAGGTTCAAAGTAGACAATATTATATCAATAATGAAATAAGGAAGAAAGTGTTTATCCTAATTAACACTCATATTGTATAAGCTCAATATTAATTTTGATTTGTGAGACCTAATATATTGACATTTTATTAATACGAAATAGAGAGGAAATGATGTTTGTTCCAACTTAATACTTATTAATTACTTCCTGTGTTATCATGTAAAACCAATGATAAGTTGTTAGGCCAATGTATGTTTTCGTCTCTAATGCAGGAAGTTTTTTCAGTTTGATCTCTATTATTTAGAAAATTTCGCTCTTTGATTTCTTATATGTTTTAACATCTTTCAATTATGCCATTTCATGGATTTACATTACAATTGAGTGATGATAAACTGACCAAACATAATACAAAGAGAGTTGGTATAAATTTAGGGGAGAAATTAAATTAAGCCACTTAATTTCTCCTTCAAATTTTGTAGAAGTTGGTAAAGATTTCAAATTTTCTTCGTTTAGATGACCTAGCTAATTCATTTTCTCAGGTATCATGTCATATAAGTTTATCATCAACAAATTTTTGTTGGGATTGGTGGAGTCAAAACAACGTCGGAACAAGCTAGGGATGTGTCGGGATCAAGCTTATATGATAGTTTGCAAAATGATATCTCATATATTGCATGTAAAAAGTGATTAATTGAAAGACTTAAAATAGAAAAAAAAAGCATGCAAATTATATGGACAATTTTACATACATCCCATCTTGAAGGGTTGAACTCTTGTGGTGAAGGAAATAGTTTGGGATCCATGTAATTTTCCCCAAGCCAAGCCATAACTCTCCATCCTTTTGGTATAACTTTACCTAAATCAAATGAAGAGAGAGTATTAGACTAATTAAATATTGCCTATTATTACAATCCTCAATAAGCCCAATATTATAAGAAATATTATTCTCATTTCACTCTTTCCATATTAATCCTTGAGCATTAGGAGGGAGGGGGAAGATGGTATGTAAGAACCCTCACATTTCAAAATATTAAATTAATTATCGGTCAAAATCTACCTTCATGTTGACTACCGACAAAAATTTAACAATTTTCTAATATATTTTTTTTATAAAGATAGAAAAATACTTATTTTCTACATTTCTCTTTCTTACTAAAAAAAATTTGATGGTGGTTGATGAGTGTTAAATAAACACCTAAATATTTTTCCTCACAAGATGTAATTTGAAGGTTTTATTATAGAGATGCAATTAAGTAGCTCCTGCAGTAAAAGAAAGATACAAATATATGAAAATTAATGACTAACCATTAATTTTGACATCTAACTCTTGCTTCACGAAAAAGCATATATGTGATACCACCAACTCGAAATGTCTCATCTATCACCTGGATATGACATATAATACCATTGTTATTCACATTCTTTTAGTATATTTATTAATTAGGTAATTAAAGATGTCTAGATTAATAATAATAATAATAATAATAAATTACCTATGATAAAATATCTCTAGGTACATCTAAAATCATAATTTTCAAACTAATAGTAAAATGATATGGCGTTTAATTTAAACATCTTCATTTTAAAGTAGAGATTAATTGAGTTGAACATCTAAAAACTTGTTTGGTAATATTCTCGTTTTTATTTCTAATTTTGAGAAATATAAGCGTTTGATGTAATTGTTTATGTTTCTTATTTCTCATTTTTTAAAAAACGCTTCTAAATTCGTTAGAAATTTTAAAAACAACAAAATCAAGTTTTTTGGTTTTTT